ACGGTATTCCCTGCCTACTGTACAGAGAGCCAGTACACCACTGGGAGGTGGGGGAAGATTGTCAACAGCACAGCTTGCTTCACTTTATCACCCTGACTCTTTGTTGTTGCTCTCCCTCCCTCTCTGCTGAGCTCACTTTAGTCTCTGTTCGTCCCAGGATCAATGCCGCGTGGTTTCCGCAGGCAGACCAAGAGGCTGACAGCGACGACTACTGAGTGATCAAGCAAGGCGATCAGATTGTTTCCTCATTCTAATTTGTCCAGAGGCTGCTGATGGGATCAATAAGGTCGCTTTGCAAGCTAGCCCGTGTGCTTGTGCTCCTACAGGAGAGTGTGTGGACGGTAAACACTGGTCGATGGGAAATGGACTTTTCTGTGTGTTCTCGCCACTAGAGGCTGCTGTTGATCTCTTTATGAAATGCAGTGGAGACGCCACAAGACGGTGCACTGTAGATGTAGTATCACTAGTTTATGTTTCTTATGATATATGTGCTCTTTATACGGTGCCACGAATAAGTATTTGCCCCCCTTGCCTGATTTCTTAGTTTTTTGCATATTTGTCACACTTACATGTTTCAGATCATCAAACAAATGTTAACATTAGACAAAGATAATGCAAGAAAATATAAAACACAGTTTTTAAATGATCATTTCATTTAAGGGCAAAATGCTATCCAAATCGACCTGCCCTGTGTGACCTATTGACTCAAGAGTCAAATAAAATTTATATGAAAAATTAATTGAGCTAAAAGATCTCAAAAATAAACCGACCTGCCTTCCCAGCAGTGGTTAGACTACCAAAATCACTCTATGAGCACATCAAAAACTCATCCAGGGTGGCACTAAACAATATCTAAAGAACTGCAGGACTCAGTTGCCTAATTTAAGGTCAGTGTTGATGAATTAACATTAAGAAAAACTGGGCAAAAATGGCATCCATAGGAGATTTCCAAGGCAAAAACCACTGCTGAACAAAAAGAACATCTTGAATCCACAAGACGTCTGGGAAAATGTTCTGCAGGCTGAGGAGAGTTGAACTGTTTGGAAGGTTTGCTTCTCGTTACATCTGGTGTGAAACTAACACCAGTTCATAGAAAGAAAGTCAGTTTTGTCCTTATTTAAATCCAAATGAATTCTTTGGTGTGACTGTAAACGAGCCTTTCATGCTTGAAAAGCCTCCAGTTTGGCTGGATTAAAATCATTTTTGCAAATGATATAAAAAAATATCGCAAATGCTTGATTGCAGTTCTTTTTGTCAAGACTGGCCAATTATCAGGGTGCGTTTACTTTTTTAGCTTTTTTTCATCTTAATAAATCATCATTAACAAACTGCATTTTGCATTTACTCGGCTTATCTTATCTAATATTTAATTTGCTTGATGATCTGAACATGTAAGTGTGATAAATATGCAAAACAAAAAGAGAAATCAGGAAGTGGGCAAACGTGTTTTTATGGCAAACTATAATATATATCACTATATTTCACAGACTTATAAATCTTGCTATCTTGCTAACTTTGCTATGCTGAAAATCATATCAATTTATTTCAAATGTATGCATTATTATATGTAAGTCGGCGTTGTCCAAAATGCAACACATAGCATTTGTCATAGAAAAGATATTTCAGTGACACTTTGCCTTTTAGACTTAATGTAATGTCTAAAAGGCATGATGTAATGTCATTCAAAAATAGTAAGAATGAAAAAATTAAAATTAAATTAAAAAGAATAAGTTGGTCACAGAAAAACAATCACAGCGTCTTGTTAATTGCCTCAGAACCCTTCACATGTATCACAGAACCTCTTGTGGAGATTAAAAACTGTCAGGCCATTAGTAAGCATCACTGCTCAAAGATCAGCTTCTACAAACTCTCCTTTTTACTTGTGAGAATCATGAGTGGCTGAAATAGTTTGTCTAGCATCCAGGTTTTTAATCCTTTTGTTGACATTCAGACTGTAGCCCTGATAAACTTGGTTATTCATGTGTGGACATTAAAGCACCCAGGCGTCATGGCTGCTATCAAATCTAAAATTTGACAGTCAAATTGGATTTAGCCATTGTATGAGATGATGAGAGTACTTGATCCTTTTTTGTCTGACATATAAAACTATTACAGCCTATGATGAATGAAAATGTAAGAAGTAAAGAAGAGACAAAAGAAACACCCTTCAACAATGTCACGAGTGCTGATGTTACATTATTTGTCCACCAGAGGGCACTCTGTAGCTTCGCTAATGGGAGTGTGTGTTTGGATTTCCACAAACACAACAAGCAGCTGCTCCAAGCAGAGTCAGGCAGAACATATGAGTAAGACACGACTTCTTGTGACTGTAAAAAAACATTATTTTTAATGTCATATTGTCATAGTTAAGAACAGCTACATACAGCAAATGTTAGAATCTATTTACATATTGGCCGTTTCTCAGTTCTCTAGTACACGAACACAGCACGATCGTTCTACAAAGGGCACGGCGGTGTGCTCGATGACATCTCTGCTCCGGAGTTTTTACTGCCATTCCCTCTTAATTGAGCTGTGATTAATATTTGCAATGGAAAGATGTAGCAGATTTTTTTAAAGAAAAAAAGATATTTTAAAAAAGTATCTTAAGCACTTTGGCGAAATTCGCTTTTAAGCATCATCTGTTTCATAATGTTAAGCACAATCACTGCGTGACAGAATCACAAGCTTCATCTCTCTCTTAATAGAAATAGTATACACGTATGGCTGAACAAAAACAAACAGGTGAGATGTTAGAACGCTTTTATTTTTATTTTAGTAAACACTCAAAACTTACAATAGACAGCTGCTGGGGTTTGGAAGAGAAATGAACAAATATTTAAAATATAATCAGAATTCTTGGAGCACCCTTCGGGATCTCCGTGTATTAACATGCTGAATTTGCTCCCGCTGAAAATGTTAAGTCCCGAATTTAAATATTTTTAATGTTCTGATTTAATTCAGAGTCAGCTGTTTAAATCAGAACAGGTGAAGTTCAAAACTGACAGCTCTCCAAGACTTCAATATTAAATAAAATGGTCCAGTTATGAAGCTTAAATTGAATCTTAGCCAGACAGATTTTCTCAGGAACTAATAAAACACTGAAAGAACCAAACATTAACATTTAGAAGTTACCTAAGTGACTTATATATCATGTTTAACCTGAGTAGCGAAAGACCGGGGGTGTTAAAAACGACGTGCCGGGAGTCCGCTGTTCTCGCCGGCCCTGGTGAACATTGACCTCCCGGTCAGCTATCGAGCTGGTGGGTAACAGACGTCTCCGAAAACGTCGGAGCGCTTTTGCAAACATGTGATGTCTCGATAAATCGAGCAGATATTTGAAGCTTCCACAGCTACATTCTCGCCTGAAATATCTTAAAAGTTTATTTTGTGACACAGAAAGAGGAACATTTCAAACTTTTTAGCTGCTTTCCGCGGCTGAATTTTGGATGAAATGCATTCTGGGATATTTGGCTGTACCAAGTTGACACAAGTCACCACCGATGCGTGCTCGATAAAACGGGAGGAGCGAGAACACATTCTGGAATTTTTAGCATACTTGGCTTGATGCGTACTATGAATTGGAACAGTACTTGGTCTGCGGCTGATGACACGTCACAAGTCCAGTTCTCATCTAGAACTGGTTTTCAATGACCAAGTTGTAAGGCTGCATGACCCAAGGACGTTTCTGTCCTTTAGTGCACAGACATGGTGCACAACATTTAGATAGCTGGGACACTGAAACTAAGACACATGTAGAAGTACAGATGCTAAAGGATTCGTTGGTAACAACAGTGCAGGTTGATAAATGAATATTCAGCTCGGATGGAAACATGTATCTTCAACTGATACATCAAAGCACCAACTTTTACGAGGAAACCCTGCCAGGTTTCTTTTAATCTCTGTATAGTGCATTCAGTTTCTCACCATTTCAACCACCGTCTTTCTTTACAAGCAGAAAATGTTCCGAAATGTATAATAGGTGATTACATAATAATAATAATAACTTTATTTATAAAGTGCTTTCAAACAAAGTGCTGAAAAAAGATAAATAAATAAAAGCAATACAGAAAAAACAATGCAATTTAAAAACATACATACAGTATCCAGCATCCATGTAGTATATACAGGTTTCTCAAAACCACGATAAGCTCATGCTCAGTGCAACACACAACCAAAAATCAGCTCTGTGTGAGCACACTCAGTGTATTACTTGTTAATCCATCACTGGATTAAGTCACACAGATTCACGCGTGTGCAGTTTAGATTTTCCAACTGATGCTGCCTTTTTTTTTTACAGCTAGAGCACAGGGACTGCTGAAGTCATAGGAAACATAGAAACACACACAAACAATGCAGGAAATGAAGCCTAGTCCAACACGTGAGGCAACATTACCAATCATCGAGACACTGTGCTACCCGAGCAGCGACCGTTTTAATCTTCATAATGGTTGATTATATTCAAAAGAGGTTTAAAGACACACTCCCTGACCACAGCCAAATAATAACAGAATCTGGCTGGTGACTGGTGTTAATTTCCCACACAGTTTATAGCCCGGGGCATGTTTTTAACAAACCACTGTAAAGATGCCATCTGTTTGAATGAAGTGACCTCCCAGGCATACAATTAAACCCAGCTGGCACAAGACACAACGAGTAGCAGAGAACTCTTTACTTGACATCCACATTAATATTTCACAGTGATTCCAAATAATGGCAATTATTACTGTAGCCATCACACAGCTTTATCTCATTAGTAGTATTGCAGTTTCGCGGCTGTATGGAGTCCTGACTGAACTCTGTCCAGTGTCAGGTTGGCTGATGTAGCCTGGGTTAGGCCTGTGTGCTGCTGCTGGAGCTGCTTTACATCAAAGAGCACGTCCAGTGCGCTCCAGTCGAAAGCACACACTGATCCACGCTGTGCACTGCAGTCACCCTTTGAGCAGTCAACCTACTACTACTGTTCTGCAGCTGTAAAATATGGTTTTTCTTCTCCTCCACAGGCATTCCTACCCACTCCCCTCCCCCCCCCATCCACCCCCTCCCCACCTTTCTCCTGCTGGGGATGTAAATAAGCTGGGGTTGTGCAGACCCTTGAGAAGTCCTCCCACTCCCGCTCTTCCCAACCACTGCTACCCCCTCTGACTTCCCTGCCCACTCACACTCTGCTGCTGCCGCCGCCGCCACTGCTGTTCATGCAGCTGAAAGGTGCCAGGGAGATGCTCAGATGATCCATTGGGTCGTTGTGAACCACTTCGTCCACACAGCCCTAGACAGGGAAGACTAACTAGTGTGAGTGTGAGAGAGTCCTTGGGGGTGCTGCGAGCACCCTGTGAGGCCCGCCCACCTGCCAAGCCTGGCAGAAAGCTTGGCTTGTCCCTTTACTCCTCCAACCCCTGAGATGCCCTCCCCTCCCAATGATGGAGGTGAGTAAGAGAGATTCAACTTTTTTGTGTGTGTGTGCATACACCACCTATAAAAGTACACATTAGCAGAAATACACACACAAATAATTTAGGGATCATGACGCACGGAGCTACGCCGAAATAGATGCCGAAACCATTTACATTCTAGCCTCATAAACACACCAGAGTAAATCCCCTGCAGAAATGAGCAAAATATATTAGAAGACTCAGTCTGGAGCACAAGCTGTGACTGTATCTAGCCTTGTTGTATGTTTTCTCCTCCTCCAGAGGATCAAGGAGCGTCCCCCGTGAACAGGCCATCTGTGGGCTCCTACCAGAGCAGCGGGAAGAGGAAGGTGCACACCAAAAAGAAAAAAGGCACCATTACCGCCAACGTCGCTGGCACAAAATATGAAATTGGTATTGTAATTTGCTTTCTTGTATTTATTAGTGAGAAGCATTTGAAATTATTTGACAATAGAAAAAAATGAGTAAAATAAACATACAAACCACTGTCTGGTGTCGGGAAAGATGAAATCTTCTCTCGCCATGACTGAGGAGCTCGTAAAAGATTCCACTACAGTGCGTTTAACGCAGAGTCTCCGAAATTCAAGCGTCTGAATCTTTATTTTGATTCATTCCTTGTGAAAATTTCATTTGTGAGTGAGACCAGCAACTCGTGTGGTAGAATTAATGTTCTCTGACAAGGTGAATTTCTATTAATCTCGGAAACAGCCCTCAGTACGGCTTACTCTGTCTGTCAAAACCCCACAAAATCCAATCACAGTGTTTTCACAACAATAAAATCTAATTTGCTGCGTTGGATTGTTTTTAAAGATACCACCTTTATTTAATAGCTTCAGTTAAAACTAAAAGAGTTGCAGTCCAGCAAAACACTTCTCAAAGAGACAGCTTGGCTTCATATACATGCATAAATCTTTGTTGAGGTAATATAACTTAGAGGTGAGCTTTTTTAGATTGGCTGAAATAGCATTGTAAGCATTCCTCCCATGTTCAATATACTATGTGGCAGCAGGGCTCTCAGGGGTGAACTACAACCTATGAAACTAAAGAGTCAGCAGCAGAAAGTAGAAGTTGGATGCTGCAGGGATCTTGCAGGTAGATGGAAGTCCAGCTGTGAGTCAGTCAGCTAGCTGTGACGAGACCCTCACTGTGGCCATTCTGAGAGTAGAGCAGAGCTATTTTGGAGGGAAATTAACACTAAGGGCCAGATAGATGGCTCATTTTTGCTGTTACCTTTTTTTGCAGCTGTCTTTTTCTGTTTCAGAATTGATAGCATTACGAGAAAAGGTTAAAGGTTAGGGAGTATGTGGTTGGAAATCTGCTTTACACACACTGAGGAGGGAATGCCGACTCTTTACCCTGAGGATGTCGATTTAGTAAGACGTGTAAGAAAGGCCGATTAAATCTTTTTTTTGGACTCAAAGCCCTGCTAGTAACTGCAAGCATAGGCCTGCTGTGATGTAAACCCTTCCTGTTCCAGTTAGCAAAACACTGTGAGCCTCTACCTACGTTAACAGATGGATGAAGTCACATCGGAAACACGCAACATTAGGCAAGCCTTCTCCAGGTTTGTGGAGGCTTTCAAGAAATTAATTAATACCTTGTTTCGTTAGGGCATATGAATTTTTCATTACTCGCTGAATAATGAATAGTTGTTGGATTAATGTCCAAATGGGCTTGCCACCTATCTCTCATACTATGGGGTTTCCAGTGGGATTTGAATGCATTACAGACAATTAATTTATCTTTTTGAAGAGAGGCATTACGATTGGCTGCTCTGCAACCATGCCATGAATGGTAAATATTGCTGTGAGCTTTTTGATCTATAATCTCCGGGTCTCATTCCTCCCCTGATGTATGCAAAAACAAAATTTAAGCCTTGCAAAATGTTTGAGTGAAATATTGATCTGCAAAGCAGAAATAATTGATTTGTGGGTCCAGGTCATTTCTTATTCTTATTCTGCATCAATATCATTGAGTTGTTTTGCCGTCGTGGATATGTATAGTCAAACCTCTGGGGGTGTTTTCCTAAAATCAAAGTGTATGTAAAGCTTATTTAAGTGACTGCATGTCTCACTCTATTAATGGAATACAATCTAATGAGAGTGTTTCCCTCACAGTTCGTATAGTCATCAATGAAATGGACTTCATCAAGACCCGTGATGATGATGAGACTGCCAACCTCATCTGGAACGACTCAGCTGTGCAGCATGAGAAAATCGCTGAGCTCAGGAATTATCAGGTATACATGGTTACCATGTTAAGTCAGTACACCTTTGTCAGTGGTTCAATAGCCTAGAGCGGCGGTCCCCAACCCCCGGGCCTGGGACCGGTCCGTGAGTCGTTTGGTACTGGGCCGCGAGAGTTGAGGCTCAGGTATGAAATGTCTGGTTTTCAGGGTTTTTGTCGGTTTTCAGCGTTAGTTTGTTATCGTTTTTTTCGTTAACTCGGTTTTCCTGGGTCTTTTCACGTGTGTTATGAATAAATCTTATTTTTTTCAGCACCGGTACTAGTTTTATTTTGTTGTATTTTTCCGCGACACCTTAAAGGCCGGTCCGTGAAAATATTGTCGGGCATAAAAGGTGGCGCAAAAAAGGTTGGGGACCGCTGGCCTAGAGGTTATAGAGGAGAGTTCTCTGGATAAGGGTTCAATTCCTCTGCTGACCAGGAAAATATGGCTCTTAATCTTTGGAGCTCAAGAATATGGACCGAGACGTCTGAAAAAGATTATTATTTGAGTAGGAAAGGTGAGATTTTACCTTCCTCAAGAGTTTAATTAGAAGAATGTGAAAGATGCCTCTGATTGAAATGCACTGTCAGTAAAAACAAGATTTAGATGCTGTAATAACCATGCTGCTTATAACTGATTTTTCTATTAAAACTCTACTTTTTAAGATGCCATAGACGGTTTCTTACATAGTCAGAACAAACTATTAAATGAAATGTGAATAAATCTTAGCTACCAGAGGTTTGCCAAGAATTAAAGATAGAATTTCAAAAAAAGGTCATTCGTGTGTGTGTGAAGAAAAGGAGGGTTCGCTGCTTTATTATCCTTCGGTTGTGTAAACCACAACATGTCAAATTTAGAACGTGTAAACCTGCTGACGTTTAGCTTTTGATCAAATAAATGAACACAGGAAGCATCATATGTACACTTTAGGAAACAGCTGTTTCCATGAAGATCGTGACTGGGATTGCTGAACCTGATGAACCCAAGTGTTTCTGTACAATGTGGTTAATCTCACCCAGGGTCTCTTTGCAGTACCAGTCTGCCTTATTTCTGTCTACCACCAAATGACAACTATTAAACTGTGAGTATATTTAAAAAAGAAAGGAGGTGAGAACAGATGGGAAGGAGGCGGTATTTGGAGAATTTTGCTGGAAGACAACTGAATGAGAGCATTCAGTTACAATAATAAAAATTAAATAACAATTAAATAAGTCATAATAGGAACAATTTAATAAAATATAACTGAATAAAAGGAAAAGTGATAAGCTGGCAGAAGACAGAGTCTGGCTTCTTGGCCTCCTTAAACCATCAGAGGAGTGAGAGCAAATAGTAAGGCGGGGTGAGCCCAATGAGAGCGAACATCTTCCACAGAGACGGGAAGATTGACGGGTAAACTGACAAGTTGTGAGCAGCAGGGGATGTTTGGGCGGGTTTCAGACGTCACCTGTGAAGTTGATAAGAAGGCCCTGAACAACAAGAGTTGATCTGAGTTCTCCATGCTGGTCTGAGAGTGATCTTACCTCTGTTTGACCCCCCCGCCCTGCTGAGTGAACTTGGCTGATCCCGGTCAGCTCTGAGCATTAGCTATCCATCTTCTCGAGCGCTTATTTGATTAGACTGGGCACTAATGATCGATTAAATCACAGGCTAGTCAGGAATAGTATGGCTTGTTAGGAAAGGGGCAGCAAGAGTTCAGCTAAGTAGATTGAATATTACAAATAGTGTAACAGCTTAACATGTTGTAACGTGGCTAATGTTTCACGTAGAACTGGTGATGTCAGGTTTTTTCTTTTTTTTAAGTGCTCCCTCACGCTGCTGTGGTGCTTCATGAGATAATTTTTCAGAAGAAAAGTAGAAGTCCCTCAACAATTGGTTTTGATTTCCCCTCACGAGTCACGTCGTCTCGCAGCATTGGCATAATTGTGCAATCTCTTCCGAATCCCTAATTACGTCTGTCTCGTTTGGATAATAATCACGCATTCCCTTTACCCTCTGCATCCTTGTTTTTTTTTCCTTTTTCCCCTCCCTTCTCCTACTCTTTCTCCCTCTTTTAATTTTTCCTTTTTTCCTTTTAGTGATGTACTGTGAGAGTTTGCTGTCAAGTTTCACTTCATATGAGCCTAATTAACGCCCCTGTTCAGGCTCATTTGGTCAAAGAATACAGAAAACCCAGAGTTTCTCCTATACCCCCACCTCCCTTTCGGCACATTCAAAGCAATTCATTCAACTGTCACTGCAGGAGCTTGCGATGCAGAACCAATTACCTTGGCCCCTCTGAGTTGAGATTGATCTTTTTTTTTTCCTCGCCTCTTCCCTCCCCAACCTTTAAAGTATAAAAAAAACCCATGGTAAACTAAATAAAGGTTAAGAAAGGTCTCAGCGTCACCTTTTTGTTTTGAGTCCGTAATTGGGCATAAATGTCAGAACATTGTAAGCTCACTTCAGGTTGCTGCCTTTAATGTGCTCATTTTTATGAAGGGGTGGGGGTGAAATTGAGTGGCGTAATGGCCCTAACAACATCATTATGTCTGCTTGTCCCGTCGCAGAGAATTAACCATTTCCCTGGGATGGGTGAAATCTGCCGAAAAGACTGCCTAGCAAGAAACATGGCCAAGTAAGTTTTTTGTTCCTCTCTTACAACACCGGCTAAATTAGAAGACGAGTTGAGTTGCAGATGTGCGTGAAAGCCTGCATGCGCTACAAGGTACAACAGGGTGTCTGCAGCATTGCACACTTAGGAGACAAATAAGTAGACACTGCAGTGAAAGCACAACCGCACCTTTAAAAACTACAAGTGGCTGACTCTAGATAGTTATAAAAGGAGAGAATAAAACACATTTATGTTACTCTCTTTTTTTATCTCTCCAGAATGATCAAGTGCCAGCCTCAAGAGTACAGCTTCATACCCAAAACCTGGATCTTCCCTGCTGAGTACACTCAGTTCCAGAACTACGTCAAAGAGCTACGCAGGAAACGCAAGCAGAAGACCTTCATAGTCAAACCTGCCAACGGAGCCATGGGTCACGGGTAGGTCAGAGGCTAGCGAGCGCGCTGGTGCAATCTGTACGCATCCAGAGGAAAGCGGAGCGAGCAGAAGGAGAGAGTAGCTGAAGGAGATGATAAGTAAGTGGGTGAAGGAGGAAATTAGCGCTAGAGCAAATGGAGGACAAGCACAACAAAACAAGGCAATAAGAGGTTTGTGACCCTGACATGGGTGTCTGTGGAAATAGCATTATAGCTGGGACCAGATTGAGTATTTGAGCTGAGAGGGTGTGGTGAATCTCATTGTGGGCTTCATTGTCCTCGATGGTCACACTCTCCATAAATCAGAGGTTATCGCCGCCATTGGAGGACACACACACATGCACACATGGTTGCTGGCAGTTACTGTAGTTCCCCCCCTGAAGGTCTCTGCATGTGATTATTGGAGTCCTTTATGAGGCACCATCAGCAGAGACCAGTCAGATTAGAAAATGGACAACGATGGCTGCTGCAGGGGACTCCGTCTCTCAATAGCATCGCTTTATCAGAAGATGAGCCGGCTGTGGCACCTGAATGCATATTTCATACTTTGCAGTCCCATGGGCTGAGTGCCTATCTCATGCTTGTGATGTCATGCGCCCGTTGTATGTTTTGACTACAGGAGGGTTGAAACATGAAGAGACCAAATGCAAGCACAGAGACTTGGATTTTTTTTAAATGTATGAGGTACACGTGTGCACTGTAAGCAAGCAAAGAGACAAAACCCCGGCAAGCAACACAACTGAGCTAGTTTGAACTGTTTAGCTTTTGTTGATGAGCAACTTGAGTAACTTTCAAAGATGTAACCAGTGATGTTTTTGGCATTATATTGAGAGGTGTGCCTAAAGGAGGAGGCAGACAAAAATTATGCAAAACAGTGTGCGTTCGATAGATCCTGAGGAGGGGCACAGCGCTCTGATGATGCACCTCATTCTTTTTTTGCTATTTAATATCAAAGAGAAAAAGGTAAATATCCTAAATTGTATTTCATATTCTGACATGAAGCAGGCAGTCAGGGTCGATTTAAGCTGTGTGGTGCTCACAGTCACATAGCCAAGCGGAAAGGAAGTGAAGTGGTTTCGGTTTTAAATATTCAGGCCAGGCTGGTTTTTGTAGCTAATACAGTTTTATAGGATAGAAAAATAAATAAATGAATAGATGGAATATTTTTAGAGGCTAAAATATGGGAAAATAATCTGGTTTGAATGTTGCACCATTTCTATCTCAAGCTCTGTAGAATATGTTGAAATTTCTGAAAATCCCAGATATTTATTTAATATTCTTTCTGACTTATTATTCTTTGAAAATATGATCCCTGAAGTGTGTGTATGAAGAAATCCTTTGGAGTGCCATCATCACTGGCGCCAATAGGTGGGGATATTGAAGTACAAATAACTCAGCGTGCTTCACCTCTCCCTCTAATTCTCTTTGAATTTGTCCTTTCTGGTATAATGTGCGCATTACTTATAACTCCATGCTGCACTAAGCCCTTATTTATTAAAGAATAAAAGGCAGCAAAGGCTGAATTATTGCAATACATTAAGAATATGAAAGATGATGAGTTTAGCTCGACCACTCAACGGCAGGCGGCTCACAAGATTAGATTTTTCTCTTTTTTTTCTCCTTTTTTTTTGCATGGTGTGACGCGGCAGGAAATTAAGTTATATCTACCCCCTGTAATTTATTTTTCCGTCAACCAACTAAATGAAGTTATTGTTTGTGTCTGAAGCCCAGCTTGTTATAAGGGAAACAAAATAAAAGCGCGTGCAGAGCTTAAAAAGGCGAGATCCCCTCCAGTGCCAAATTAAATAGGCAGGGGAGAGTGGGCCGTGATTATCTGACACCCTGGCTCATCAATCATGTCGTCTCCTCTGCTACTTCCACTCGACTAACTAACACTGTTAACCCTGTCTTCATCATTCAGCTTTCTGTCTGCCTGTTTGGAAAGCCCCTCACATCGTCCATGAAATCCCCCCTCCACATAAAAGCTGAAAAAACTTTGAGTGCTGCAATAAGCAGGCAGGTAAAACGCTCGTCTGTAGTAGAGAAGTCGCCGCTAATTGATAAACCCAAAGTAACAGCGACATTATACTCGAGTAGATCTACAAGTAATGAATTTTTTTTAATCAAGCTTAGCTAAGACCTTATTTGATCATAACCTGAAAAACTAAACCTTAGTAACCCCCCCCCCCTTTGAGGCTTATCAACAACAGTGCAGTGTTCTGGTAAGCTAGGAGTTGATGAAGTTGACTGAGCACCTAAACTAAATAAGAATATATTCTGATTACCTGGGGCCTAAGAATCTTTGACCTCTGGTAGTTTTCTACCACCACTCTTGAATAGTTAAATTACTTTTGTGTGCGTTTGTTTTGGAGCAATCAGTTCTCCACATTTTAGCCCTGTGTTGCGTTTATGTGTGCAGTGTTCCTGCTCGCTTGCGTATAATGGAGCCTTCCTGGCTGTGCACGTAATCAGGTTAGCCCGAGTCTGCTTTAACTATGAGTGATGGTGATATAGGTCAGTCGCTTTGTGCGCGCATAGTGGAAGATCGTTTAAAAATGACCCCTCACCCGCACTGCACACGTATGTACACCACACACATTCAGACAGACGCACACTGTTGCGAATGTCGTCCCCTCACACATACAACCACGTGGACGTACACAAACTAATAAAAGACATCTTAAGTCCAGCTGGCAACAGTCTGCTCTTTATAAGAACTGAGTGCCAGTGACATGAGACCAAAGCAAATGAATTAGAGTGGAGGTTAAAACGGAGCGCACTGTCTGCTGCTATTAACCTGCGCATGGCTAAATGACCCTATTAGAACATGTGATGCACTGTGCCATTTAGACTGAATGGAGTTTGGCTACAGAAAATCACAATAATCTCCAGATGCTGGCCGGCTATGGCCCAGACAAACCATTATTTGCGCTGTACCTGTCTGCTTCATGCGCAATCATTTCTCAAACCGTTCTGTTTAGATGGCAAGTTAATGAATAGAGTAACAGCATTTTTGGATGGTCGAATGCGTCGTAGCGCCAGACAGCTCGTCCTGTTCAAACTAGACTGGACTCATTTTTACATATTTTCACTGAAGGTTCTGATGCTGTGGAGGCTCACTGAATACCATCAGGGCATGACTCTGACCCTCTCAGCTATTAATGCTAAATGCCTTTATTATAAAAGTATTTCTAATCATTTTGTGCTCAGTAAGGACATACTCTTATCTTCTCCTTCCAACTACATCTATTGATTAGTAGGCTAAAGCTATTCTTGGCATGCGAAGATTGAAAGTACCACTAGGATTGGCATCTGCAGCAAGCCAGACATATATCTCCAACTTTTCCAGATGACTTTGAAATGAAATATTGTGTTGAGACACATAAAATCTGTATCTTGTTTGCCCCCCTCCTTTTTTTCCCTTCAACATGTATATAAGACAGTGCCAATGTCATCAGTCATGTTCATGGTCTCTGCTGTGCTCCCATCTATCATTTTTTTAATTATCTTTTTTGTCTTTACTATGCCATATTTTATTATGCTGCTGACGACACCATAATTTCCCCCCCGAGGATTAATAAAGTTTCTCTCGATCCAGGATCTCACTTATCCGTAACTGTGAGAAGCTGCCAGCGCAGGAGCACTTTATCGTTCAGGAGTACCTAGACAAGCCCTTCCTGATGGAGGGCTACAAGTTTGACCTGCGGATCTACATCCTCGTCACTTCCTGCGACCCTCTCCGCATTTTCCTTTACAATGACGGCCTCGTTCGTATGGGCACAGAGAAGTACCATGCACCCAGCGAAGCCAACCTGGTGAGTGACAAATAATGAAGCTACTATTATGCAGGTATTCACACACACCTGCACCTTTTTCTTGAGTTTGATAAAAGTGCATGGCACTGTGGTGCATTTGTATTACTGAAAACAATACATATATAGTGCTCAGCGTGTTATAAATTCAGTAATGCACTGCTAACATTTTATTTATTATGCACTTCCATGACCTGCAGCCATAGCCTCGTGCAACTCAGCACAATCAGATTAAAAACAGATGAAACAAAGGTTGGAAACAGTGTTGTCTTTACATAAGAACATGCATGCACACATATAAATAGTCCACAATTGGCAATAACTGATATTGTTCACATACACACACGCACACACACACACGGACGCAAAATATGCAGACATACTGTATGCACACAAATGCCCACATGCCAGATGTCTCCTGTAATATCAAGCCGCTCGTGTTTGCCTTGAGGTTCTGCACCTGCTGAAGCACAGTCTGTTGCTGATGATGGGATACATACGCACATACACACACGTGCACACACACAGACACGCACTCAGTGAGTTCAGAGGACATTATGGTGGCTTACACTCCTTCCTGTAGGTTTGCTCTAGTCTTAACCATTACTGCTATTTGCCGAGCCCTGACCGCTGCCCTGGCCTTAACCTAACCTTACCCCGTCTTTAAAATTTGTCTTCACCTTAAATTTAATGATTTACGTTACGGGTGCTTGCTTTTTGTCCTCATAAGAAAGGCACGGCCTCATAATGTGTGTAAATAGATTTACATGAGTAATGCCTGTATCACCGCTTCCTATCAAGCACGGTACTTATCTAAAATATGAGCACGCACGCACGTGCACGCATAGACATGCAGGACCTCTCCCATGACATGAAGCGTGCGTTGTGTTAGTCTGTGACATATGATGGAGTGAGTCATGCCATGGAGATGGATGTTTAATCCCACAGAGAGTGGCTTCCAGACAGCCATCAGGTGCTGGAGTGGCCTGCGGTCACAGCGGTTATTACCTTGTAGGCTAAGGACAAGGATGTATTGTCTTCAGGTGTAAGAGATGGTGTTTAAAGAGAGGGATACAAAAAGTTAAAGACAACCATCCAATAAAACATTTTAACCATACACTATTGGGCACTATAACTCAGATTTATATTCTTAAGATTTTGCAGGTCTGTGATTGTAAGATTGAGCTATTGGCTTGATTTCCACTTATTCTCATGAGAATAAGTGGAAATCACCGAAGGAGCGTTTCTGAAATACATCACTGATAATCTCCCAGTTCACACAGTGATATATTCTTTATTTCTTTTACTATAACACTCATTCCACCATCTCAAGTTGCCAAGGGACTAGCATGCAATATTTTTACTTCAGTCGTATTTACCTACTTTACTCTTAGAGAAAATGTTTTGCACCATATTGTGAGCTGGTGCTCTGTAGTATAAATTCACGAACACTCCTGAACAGGTTGTTAGAGCTTGTAAAAAGAAGTTTTATTGTTATTCACTCCAAACGCTGGATCCCGCAGTCACATTTAGTCGAATTATCATCAGATATACTGCATTCTTCCATATAAATGAAAAGGGCAAAGCTTGTTTTGAGCATATTTATTTATATCAGGCTACTTATGTAAAAGAGACACGTGTAATGCAAAAAGCCTCTTATTGTTCCCTTTTCTCTCCACAGAGCCAGCTCTACATGCATCTGACCAACTACTCGGTCAACAAACACAACGAGAACTTTGAGCGAGATGAGACGGTGGACAAAGGCAGCAAGAGGTCCATCAGCTGGTTCACCGAGTTCCTCCGCACCAATGACTATGATGTGGCCAAATTCTGGGGCGACGTCTCTGTACGTGGGCAGTCCACCCAAAACACGTGCAAACACAGATACAGTTACACTCAGACGCGCTGCGCCTGACGTCCACTTCCAAAAGCAAGGATGTAGAGTATGATAACAAAACACTCCACAAATGCAAACAGTGAATGACTTCATCCTCAGAAGTAATCTGTACGCAGGCTGTCACATATATATGTGTGTGTATACACACACATGCTGCTCCTGCTAACAACACCCGTTGCACGCAATGCACAAGTGGACGAGCTACGGCTTGATATGATTTGTTATGACAGTGATTCTGTGAGCTTGTTTAACTCCAGGAAGAGCTCAGTGGAAACATCATTCCTGGAGGGTGAGCTCTCCCGATTTGGCATTGCTCCCTGCTCATCCAAACACTTTAACCTTGTTCATTTTCTTTCATCATTGTCTGTTTGTAAAATTCCTTCACCCTCTCATTGATTTTTTTTTTTCCTTCTTTTTTAAATTTGTACATCCATCCATGCCGGTCATGTGCCTTTTTATCTTTCTGTTTCTACTCTTTTAGTTGCTCCTTTCTGTTTGACCCATTTTTTTTAGGTTCTCTTCATGCGCTCAGTATTCAGTATTATTTTCTCTTTTATCCCTGACCTTGAGTCTTTGTCCTGCTGTCCATAATCATTTGAGTTGTGTGGTCCCTCAGTACTTGTTCCCTGCTTTACGGCCTGCTCTCATGCTACCACCACTCAAAACCAAAATGAAATCCCTTTGGTTATTATTCTGTACTCAAGGAAAGCTTTTCTCTCTTCTCCTTACTGCCTCTTTTTTAAATTTTAATGTTTCTTCATGTTCATGTGGCATGCGCATTACTTGCTGGGAAAATGTGTTGTTTAGATAACATTTTCTTTTCTCCCCTCTTTATTCCCGTCTCATATCCACATTGTGTGATGTGTCCATGTGCTCCATTTGGTGAAGGAACTAACATTTCCTTTCCTGTATTTTACTTAGTTTTCTTGTTTTTCTTGGTTGTTTTCTGTCCTTTAGTAACACCGCGTGTCACCTCCTGACTCAGCCAGAACGTCCACCTCTCGTCTTGCTCTCTGTGTTGTTTTCTCTTTTCTTTCTCTTTTTCTCTGAGCTTTCTTCAGAAGTTGCACCACTTTGGTGTTAGTGCTGTACATTTGCACTCACACACTGTGCTTTGTTTCAACTCTGTATTTATGCTCTCTGCGCCCTCTCCCCTCTTCTTCTCTTTTCATCTCTCCTCTTACATTTTGTTACCATGCAGACCTAGCAGGCTGCCCCGACTCTTCCTGCCAGTGTTCATGGTCAGGCAGTCAGAGAGTGTTTGCCAAAAGATTTGTCTGTACAGGTTAAGAATATTGTACATATACACATACATATATACACATACATATATATGTATGTGTATATATGTAT